TGTGTCACTTAAAAGGATGCAATCTTTAGATCTAAGTAACCTAGGTTTACATCAACAGCCTATAAATGCCCACTGCTGAGCAAAGGCTCTTCTCACACGGAGAAGGTTAGAGCGTTAATCACCACGCTTGCTCAATGCGGGTTGGCGATTTCAAACTTATAATTAGAAATTATAAGTCCAGGTTTCCTCACGATGTTTTTCCTTCACCGTTTGTCAGTGGTGTCTAAATAATCTTAGAAAGTACATAGAGCTCGGAAAAAGTCCCATTGGTACTTGCCGTTGGTAGGTTTCGAACCCGCACCCTCATGCATGAGAAGTGGGCGTCTTAAACCTCCGGGCCACCACGACATACGTCCTAACCTAGGTTTATTTGTTTCTTAAATAATAGTAGCGCTCTTCCGTGTATGATAGTGGTTTAAGGAACAATACGTGGGTCTCTTGTTGTCTTATTTTGAACAGAGGAAGAGGAAAGGTTGAAAAAACTGCGTGACGAATATCATTATCGATATCTGCCTAAATTATTATAACAACGCATCATGCCTTCATTCTCTAAGACAGTTAGCAGAGCTTCACATATTTATCGTACAGAAAATTTATCAACAAACATGTATTTTTTTTATGGAATGAACCGACAGTATACGAGCAGACGGATCACCTGATGGTAAGTAGTCGCCGCCGCTCATGGACACCCAAAACACTAGAGGTGTTACAAGTGTGTAACCGATTAGGAATTTGAAGATTATTGGGGATTCGGGGATTGGGGAGGTTGAGGAGGTAATTGGGCCCCCGGTATGTTAGGAATTTCATATAATAAGAGCTAGAAGATACTAAAGACCTGAATTATTTCTTAATATTACTGTTGAAATGGATAAATGATACAATTATTATAGGTATTTACAGTTAATAGCTATGAAAAGGTTAATTGAAAACAAATACAAGTAACGTAGTAATTCGACGAGGATCTCGACTAGTTTCAAGCCATGCCAGCCATGCCGAGGCTCATATTTATATTTATTTAGTATGTCTCACGAAAGTTACAATACAAATACAAGGAACTTGGTATATCAATATAAAAATGAAAACCAATCTAAGTATGTTTATCTTACAGATTAAATTTAATTAGCGACCCTCTGTATAATTTTCCAATACATATAATAATTACGCTGGTAATTAGAAAAGTCGTTAGCAGCAGGATTCTTGAACTGAATGACTGACATACATACATATATTCATAGTTACCGGCGCCCTTGTGAGTAGATAACGATGTATTTATTTACCTATGTTAAGGTTGTCTAAAAATAACTAATATATTATTGCTCTGCTCTTGCTTCTGCCTCGTGGGCCCAGTGCCGGGCAAGGGCAAGGTCTCGGGTTCGATTCCCTGGTCTTGCAAAGTATTACTGGGTTTAAAAAAATCTCAGTAGTAGCACGGAGACTGGAATTGTGCCCGGTATATGGCAATAGGCTCACCCCCTATTACATGGGACTCATAACATAAATAGTGAAAAGTAGGTTATCTTTTATCACACGCATTTCTTTTTGAATATTTAGTTTAAAATAATTAAATTAACCGGTTTTCCCACGTTACCGTTCGATGACGTCACTCGACTAGTTTCAAACCAAAACAGGAGTCCAATATCATGGTAACACCAACGCTACTTTAAAAACGTCATATTAAAAAAAACAGTAACCGTATCGAACAAATACTGTCAGTTCCATTATTCACTATCTCCCAAAGTATATAAATAAGTACCTACTGTACCTAATATTTCCAATCCGTGGCCTATGTACGCCTGCAACACTTGGGGCATTACATGCGTCTTACCGACCCTTAAAAAACCTATTCACCGCCCTCTTGAAGAACCTCATGTTGTAGCCCACTATAGGTAATATGAAAAACCTTTGACCCTATATCTCCATTGACCTTCAAAGAAGCCAATGACCACCACTGCACGTCCCTCACATAAAGATAACTTCTTACAACCATAAAAGAACTTTATTTTCACGTTTATAATGACTCTTTTAGAATAAAACTTAATAGCTTTAAGTTAAAAGACCACACGCACTTAGATGCTATGATTAAAAATTAAAATTATTGCGCTGTGTCGTTGGAGACTTTGTAAGGAGACGCTACGACTTATTATTGCTAAAATATTTTCGAAATGAATTTAAGAAATCTTTGTAAGAAATGAAAATTTTAGATAGCAATATTTTATGTTGTAAATATGGTTCAGTTTTAGAGAAAACTGTTCTAAATGACTTTTTTTTAAGGGGGAAAATCATCGAATGCCTTCTCCCGCCTGGGTGAGGTGGAAGGGAGTGCCTCTTACTGACTAAAAACCACCCCGTTCCTTCTCCTGCACTTAGAGCCGGAGCCCCGGTAACCCGTTAGATTCTCCGCGACGTTCAAAATGACTATGCCTGTATTTAAAACTGGAAATCCATTTTCTTGTGAATAGATTCAATAACTTGATACTTATCTCCATTGTTTCATTGAATGATAGAATGACTGATATAGGTATTAACTAACTAAACATGTACACAAAAACGCATCATTTATTTAAAGGAACTCGCTTTGGCTCACCTCTTTAGATTCTTATTTAATTCAGCAATAAAGATACCAACGCACGGAACTAGACACTACAAAAAAAAAGAAATAACAAAGAAACTATCTAACTGCATCTATCGTCCACAATCTACCAATTACAACCTCACATGACATAACCATGGTTAACAAAAAGCCAACCGTTTGACATTTAACGAACGAACACTAACTCATTACATAAGCGTCCTTGCAAGGCCGCGAGTGGGTTGCGCGGGCGCATAAAGCCACAGAGTATATGCGTACAGAAGGTCAACTAGTTCCGGATATTTTTAATCTGTATTGCTATTGTTATAGGAAGGTTTCGTGACTCATTCTGTTTGTTTATGTTTCCTGTATAGATGTAAATTAAAATAGCATCATTGATTTTTTTCGTTCAGAATCACACAGCACACAGTTTTAGATTTTGTAGTAGCTATAGCTGCTTGTCATTTAATTTATGAAAACCTACAACTGGAGATAAGCAGATGATATGAATGAGATACTTATACAAGATACAGTTACTCGATCAACCAAGTTTTTTAGTCACTTAAGAAAATAAATAAAAAAAATAAAATGATAATTTATCATAAATAATGATGTTTTTTCAAACTAAGACTTCTGTACAGTATTTATAGTATGTCAAGATGTAACGCGCCGCCCGCCTGCGCACGAGTGCACGTAATTACGCCTTTGTTGTGCTGTTAATCGTGGGAAAAGGATGTAAGGTGCAGCGATGAGACATATTATATTATTTCAGTTTATACTGTACGTAGGGATGTGGTTTTTGTCGATAAAATAACATATCTATTCGAAAACATCTTGCACAGTTAGTTTCATTTTATTGCATTCTTGTGTATTTAAATAACATACCAAAACTTTTAAGCTTCTTAAAGGTTTTTATAGTTGTCAATTATAAAGTTTAGATAGGTATACAGTCTGTACAAACACAGACTGTATAGACTGCCTGCCTTATCATTATTATTTATTTGATTATTTAAATAAAAAACTACCTATGCTAATATAAAGCTTCTGTGACATAAATCATTGACAATAACACATTATTCTCACACGGCTTCCATTCTAACAATTCAAGATAGCAATCACTCAATACAAATGAGAATATTTTTATCGACCATCGACATTATGGATCGTCGATCTTTGGAAATAAATTATCGACATTGTTATTGGACAGCACTATTTTAAATGTTTATTTTTAACTGTTTATTTCAACTATTAGGTTATGAAGTAGGAAGTTGTTGCAAAAGGTTGTATTCTGAGTCATTGCAAGGCTGTGACTGATTAATATCTTGATAAGGTCTACTTTTGACTCAGTTTTGGCGAAGCTTTGTATCTGGGAATATTGTCTTGTTTACTGGTCGTTTGCTATGTAGACTTTATGGTCGTAAATCCTTGATAAATGTTGTTTATGTTTGTTCTCAGTCAACTTTTTTAGAACCTAGGTTATTAGGGTCCTATATACAAGTATTGTGCAGGATTTTCATGGCTTATGAAGATATGTAGTACCCAAAACCTTGATCATAAATTATGATATAAGTAAAATGTCTGAGACAAGATTTCCTTCGTTATAACAAAAAGCTAATCCTTGTTTTTATTAAAGTCATTTTAATGCTGACAGATCACCCAATGATAATTGAATAGCGTGGCGCATGGACACTAGAAACCACTAAGGAGTTACAAGCGTGTTGCCGGCCTTTGAGGGTGGGGTAGGAGATGGTGCTTCTGGTGACCTCACTCTCACAGTAAGGCTATAAACCTGTCCAAATTGACGTAACTTTAACATGACATCACCCACGTCACTTCTGAACTTCTAAGAACTTTATAAATATTTTGTAATAACCTTGTTCTGTTCACTTATATTATGTGAAGAAATAAAACTAGCTATTGCTAAGACTATGGTCATTATTGTTTTACAATTGTCTCCTCTATTTTATTTGTAGCTCTGTTATGACTTGGTTGACGCAATTGTACATCTAAAATAAGAAAAAAAATGTTGCTATATATAGCTTATTCCAAAAGGCATTTAGGTTACGACGCTTTTAGATAAATAGTAAAAAAAAAACAATATCTGTCAAATGTATGTTCTTGTTTGTGTGTGTGTGTGTTCTTGATTGGTTGTGATGATACCCGTGAGAAGAGTAAGGTAGTGCCAAAAATTATTAGGTACACTGCTATCACCACACCATGTGGTGATCAATATTGTCGTGTGGCCATCTTCGTTATTCTCATGAGCGTAACAGAAGGTCCTAAATCCACGTATTGAATAAAATAGGGAAGCACCTCAAATCTTTCCATAACATTCACATGACTTCGTGTTTTACATAGTCAAATTAGTCAACCTTGAACCTTGTCGAAAAAGTGTTAGCGGCATAATAAAAAACTAGAACTATGTGCTCACCGAGTCCACATATGAGGTAAGTGGGCGGCGGTTTCAGCACGGATCGGGCGTAAGCCCCTCGGACTGTCTCCAGTGCCCTGGGGGCTCCGGCCACCAGCAGCACTCCCGGAGACACGTAGCCAGCGTACCTCAGCTCCGCCGTCGCAGCCGCTAGGGCTCCCGCCCACCAACATTTTGCATTCGCTGATAGAAAACTCTGGAACAAAAGAAAATATAATTTATTAATTTCAACGTTATTGTTTAGCATTTCGTTAAATGGATAGGACCATTTGCGATTGTATTCTAAAACCTACAAAATTTGGCAGTAACTGCTCTAGACCCGAACTTTTTAAATTACGGTTTTCAGGCCACATGCCAGGGAAATTCAGTCTCACAGAGGAGGCTCAATAGTCTTGTAGAACTCCTGAGAAAAGTATGGCTTAAGGCCTAAGTACAGCGGAGCGATCTCCTGCCACCGTAAGCACGGGCCTGCGGACGGCGAGCATAGGTGGCTCGCCACACGACCAGAACCAGACCCGAGCGTACGGCGCGTCACGCTCAATAGGAGTACGAACGGGGTGGTTATTAGTCAGTAAGAATCTGACACTACATCCTGCCTCACCTAGGCGGGAGAAATCATTCGATGATTTTCCCCCCTTAATAAAAGGCTTAAGTATGATATCACCCTAAAAATAAAGATATATAAATAATAAAAATTGCATAATAAACGCAATAATTGTTGTGTAAGAAAGCAGTTTGCAATTAAATGGGAGTTTTTAAGGATGTGTGATATTTATTGATTGCCAAACTTAAATTGAGTAGTTACATTTATTAAAAGGTGACGCCTTCTAATTTCCTCTTTATAATCAACACATCAATGTTCAATTAACTTAATAGACGTATAGAGAATTGAATTTCGATGAAATCGAAAGTATTTTGGACGACATAAATACATACTAGTATTTGAAACTAAATAATAGGTACGCTTGAATGATATACATTCAGTCACTATATACAAATGTATATCATTGTAATGTATAGTATAATGGTTTGAATGCACGGTTGGCGGGGTAGTTGGGCAACTGACTGCCACGCAACGTGTCGTGGGTTCGATTCCCGCACGGAACAACTCTTTGTGTGATCCACAGATTGTTGTTCCGGGTCTGGGTGTCATTGTGTATGTGAACTTGTGTGTTTGTAAACGCACCCACGACATAGGAGAAAATTCTAGAGGAAAATCCGGGTCCCAGGTCGGGCAAAGTTTTACTGGGTTTTAAAAAAATCTCAGTAGTAGCACGGAGTCTGGAATTGTGCGCATACTATTAGATGGGACTCGAAACATAAATAGTGAAAAATGGGTGTTACATTGTACAGTGGTATAATGTGCACCTCTGCCTACCCCTTCGCGGATAAAAGGCGTGATGTTATGTTATGTTATGTAATTCTTATTAATAATTGTTACCCTCGAATAACTTCTTAAGTACCACCTACAGGACCACATTACCGTTCTCACAATCAAGTCTTAATATATATTCCACTTTATCCTCATATATCTTAGTCTCAATACAGAATACCGTCACACAGTCCTTGACCGGTACTTAAGAGATTACTGGCATTTTGTGTGTTGCAAAACTATAGCTCTTTGGATCCTGAACTACATTGCTTGCGAAATCCGAATAAGGTTATCCGAACCGCCATCGCACATAGTCCATGAGCTCATGATCAATTTTCATGCGCCATTTTAAATGGAACGGTAATTAAATGAAAATGTTAACGGTAGGAGTTTATTTAGTTTTAATTTTTTTATTATTTTCCTCTTTGGCAACCGAGTCTCCAATACGATGTTTTTATAATAACTATCGTGAGACATACCAAAATTAACTAAAATCGCGGGTTACTCACGTGAGTATACTGAGAAAAGCTCTACTAGTTTCGAACTACAGAGGGGTTCTTCCTCATGAGCAGCGTGCGCGGTCGCGGCTACGTCGCTATTTTAGTTAATCTCCAATACAATGTTGTCGACAATAATGCCAGTGTCGAGAATTATCTATGTTATTTTAGTGTTGTGTTTAAATTAGAACTATGCCATGTTGACATTGATAGTCATTACCTACATCACTGAAATTATCTAACCAATACGGATACGGAGTTTCCTGTTTTTCTAAATACAGTATTTATTAAGCTTACCCCCTATTACATGGGACTCATAACATAAATAGTGAAAAATGGGTGTTACATTGTACAGTAGCATTAAGTGCCGTAATGTGCACTTCTGCCAACCCCTTTGAGGGTAAAAGGCCTGATATAATGTATATTTTTATTTTGAAGTGGTTTGGTGTAATATAATTAAATCAAAACTGTTTTGATATCTAATAGAGGCGTTAGGGTTCCATAAGGATTATTTCACTTTGGAGTCTAAAAAAGTAACACAAAATTTATGTTGGTGTCTAATTCAATTTAGTTAAAGAGTTTCATTTAAGTAGTTTCATCAATTCAATTTATTGTCATCATAAATCTTCACCATTGTAAACTGACAGCCATTCTTCCATTATTAAATAATAATAACTAGCATTATTACATTTTCACTTTCCCATAACGATAATACATCTACACTATAAATGAAGCAATAAAAAAATAATATAACCATTATCAACAAAGTTAAATTACGTACTATAGGTACCTACTATAATCAATTTCTAACAAGATTGTTATAAAAAGTTAATGACAATAACGAATCGATTATCGTTATATCGATTATTATTATTTTATAGAATAGGTTTACTCGATTCCGTTAACGCAAATTTTAGGCAAAAGGTTGATTCATTTTGATTTTTACCGCTTTTCTTTTATAATAATTATCGTCTACAGACCGGGAGAGACCACTGCTTTTTTTTTCTTAAGGGGGGAGAATCATCGAATGACTGCTCCCGCCTGGGTGAGGCGGGAGGGAGTGTCAGACTCTTACTGACTAAAAACCACCCCGTTCCTTCTCCTGCACGTCGAGCCGGAGCCCCGGTTACCCGTTAGGTTATCCGCGACAGAGACCACTGCTAGACTATCAATGGACCTCGTCTACAAAAGAGAGGTTTGTCGTAACGTACTTGGAAGGTGGTTTAAAGTAATATTCAAATCAGTAAAAAGGATTAGGCTAAATTCATTACCATTATTTATTTTTTTTATGTTGGGGGGAAACCTTCAAAAGGCGTCTAGCTTTTTGGGGAGAAAGACCATGGAGTGTAGGATTCTTACCTCACTAAAACCACCCCGTTGGCCACCCTCCGCACCTGTAAGGGGCACCGGGTCATCCTCCGGATATCATGGCGGCGCAACCAGTCGCCAATACCAACGAAATATATACAACTCTATATATTATAATGACACTTTTGAACGTCATCACAAAAATGTAAAATTGAAGCTATGTGCTCATTCCAAGGAGTAAATTCCTATTAAGAAGAACGAACAAGAAACTCCATAGGTTACTCCTCCGGATACCATGGCGGCGAAACCAGTCACCAATACCAACAAAATATATACAGCTCTATATATAATGACACTTTTGAACGTCAGCAAAAAAATGTAAAAGTGAACCTATGTGCTCATTCCAAGGAGTAAATTCCTATGGAGAAGAACGAGCAAGAAACTCCATAGGTTACTTTTCAATCATATATTTTATTGGCAGTGGCGACTGCTTGCGCTGCCTTGGTGAAAATGGCCCTTATAGTTTGCTCTGATGACAGCGTTGGGAAGAGAAGGGATGCTAACAGATGCTAAAATAGGTAATTTTATTTTGCCATCATCACTTGGCAAGCTTTTGCTTAGAAAATAAGTTTTATAATCGTTTGATGGACAGTGTTGATTATTAGCCCTTCGGATTGTGTCAGAGGAGAAAACTTGTCTAAAGTATAAAGAGCAAATTGCTGACGTTAATTATGATGTTAGACTTAGGACTCACTGGTGTAAGGACTGGACACTGAATAAATAGAAGGTATTTTGATAATTCCATATTATAGCATCAGTTTCCTTTGTGTGAAAGACTTATCGTATGGCGAGTGATTCTTTCTAGTTGTCTTAGCACTCTTGTGGTTCGGAAGTGGTATGTATATGTATATCTATATATCTCATAATCAACTGAAGTCCTACAGAAGCTATGTATTTATTTTTAATGATAACTAGCACAGGGCCATGCGTATTTTAGATATGAAAGAAATTAGTGAAAATTTTAATCAGGCCCGTTTTATAATTCCTGTATATTCTGTGTCATGTAGTAATTATACATACTTCTTCCATATTATACAGTTACTGTTAGTATATAAGTAGGTCAATTACTCTGTGTTTCAGAAACTAAAGGCGTATATAAAATATATTGCACAACATGTATAAAATGCTAAGAACTACAATTCTACGTATTGAAGTGGAATACATAAAAACCCGAGTGACGCCATTTCAAAAAACCCACCAACTGTAATGCATACAAAACCGCAAGCTGTTTTAAAATCAATAGTTAAACTTCAAATGACATTATAAAATACGATACTAGTTTTCTAGTTTAATGAACAAAATTGGTAAGCACCTATATACGTTTAGATAAAAAAAAAAATACTTATTATCTAAGTTTGTAAAACCTTAGTCGGCAAAGTTTTGCTTAACTCGTCGAGTACCGGTTTTGTAGACACAATTATAGAACAATAGGTTGCGGTCACCGGTGACCGCTTGGTGTTTGACAGTTTAAGACACAAAATAAACGAACCATGTGATAAACTAATTTGTACCAACCTAATGTGTTATGCTTATTTCAGTAAAAATGTAATATTTAAGAACGTAAATTATTTTGCACAAATAACTATACACGTAAGGCTAAAGTCAAAATTGTAATGTAGCTATCATTTTTGTAAACATCAATATGATACTTAGGCATGCGAAAATAATATAAAGTTTTATATCTCTAAGTTAATCACGATTATTAAATCCAAACTAAAGCCAAATCAACCAATGTAATCCCAGCCTATGATTATGTAGATTACAATTTTCCTAGGTGTGAATTAAATAAGTACTTTGAGAAAGTAGTAGTGCTGCTAGCTCGGATACATTATATGCAAGGAGACTGTGATTATATGCTTATTATATTGTCTCATAAAATTTTATCGCCGGCAAATGAGAATTTATTAAGTTACAATAAACTTTCATAGGAGCGAATTATAGTAGGCGATTGTTTTGTAG